CATAAAACTAAAAATTATAAAATTAGATCTAACATACTACTACTAGCAGGGATCCCAGCTAGAAGTAGAGAATGTTTTCAATCTGAAAAAAAAATTTAGCAGCCTTTTTGTTTGTGCTTATGTATTGAGTTTAAAAATGTTCTCTACTTCTCTCACTTGACTGGATATTTGATTGATATAGGTTTTTAGACAGTTTAGGACTTAGATCTCCTTTGCTGTTAAAAGATGAAAAACACTGTGTTTACAGAATCGAGCTTTTAGAAATAAAAAGAGAAAATTCATAGCATAACAAGGACCCAACAATGAGGTATAAGTCCTTCTCAGCTTCATATTGAATCTTTAGTGTAGCATAGTTAGCGTGAAGCTGCTACTGAGGCTTACAGCTTTGATTTCAATCTGTGTTTTATTTTTATTTTTTTTGTTATTTCTCAAGACCATTTTTGAGCCACGAAATCACAAACATCATGCAGCTGCAACAGCAGAGACATGTTGGTGATCCTTGTTAAGTTCTTAAGTGTTGTGTCATAACTCTTAGAAATGGAGTTCTACCTCAGCTGGATTCAAAACTAAAGGATGATTGAAATCAGCAAACATGAGGAAGATATGCAAATTGTAAGCTTAGTGTAGATGATGTACTTGCTGACAAATCTCACAGATGGTGTCCTCTTTTTAGTTGCACGAGTGTTGCACATACTTTTGATAAGCATACTACCAAACACAAAAGAGAGAAAAAGAAATGAGGAAGAAGCAGAAACTTGCTTAGAACTCTTAGACAACACGAAGAACAAAGTCCTTACCTTCAACCTGTCGCAACAAGAGCATGGAATTTTGTGATTCCCAGTCTTGCCCTCCTCCTGTCAAATTCTACTTTTGCCTTGCTGGGATTTTAGGGATGGTGGCTTTGTGGAGTGTTCTTTGTGATGGTGGTGATGCTGCTTATTATTGAAAAACTGGTTTTGGATCAGTAGAGACAAGCTGTTTCCATTCTTCTGGAAATGGGATTTGCCCAAACCAGTGCCAAATTTCTCAATGGTGAGAATTGCTCATCACCTACTGAGCATGGCAGAGTTCTCCTTGTTCAATATCTCCAACCAGACTGTTAACAAGTTCCATGGTGCAATGCTCCTAGCCACCATGGAATCAAGGCATGCTGGTTATGTCCTTTGCTCTCCACACACGTCTTATAGATCGACTTGGATGCATAATTTCATGTTTTTATTCTCAAAGTTTTGGTTTTGTTACAACAAATAGTTTGTTCATATTAGGTTTCTGAGTTCATGTTGAAGAATGGAGTGCACAGTGGATGGGCTGAAAAAGGTCAAAGACAACCTAGAGGAGGAAATTGTGCTGAGGATTACAAAATTGGATTCCAAACTTAGTGCTATTGTGGGAAAAATTTGTGTAACTGATGAAAATAAAGTTATGGAAGCATATGCATCCTTTCATATGGCATATGCCCAAATCAACATTTTTACATCCTTTATACTCCTCTATAGCAATGGCTTTGTCAGGTATATGTTTCCAAGCCCCACACTACAGTGAGCATAGTTTTCATTTGTTTAAGAGTTTAGAAATATAACAGTGTTTGTTTGTTTTTTCAGATGAAAAAACGAACATACATAAGTAAATTTATTAATATTGTTACTATATTTATATTAAACCTCATAAGCCAAATCGTTCTAGACATATTGAGAAATTATAAATTGATAAAATCTAAGAAATGTATTTATGTTTATTAATTAATACGTTAATAAACTTACATTCAAATAAAAAAGTATAAAAAAACTTCATCGGTGTGTTACACAAATTATTGATTTCGAAAGATAAATTGAGTTGAGACTTTTATGAATAATAACTTATAAATACTAAATTTAATTATATTTAAACTTAAATTTTTTATATATGGTTTTTATAACATATTATCGAATTATTAAAATATAATAATTATAAAAATATGCATAATGGGAAATTTCACATTAACTTTATTGTTTTTTAGCTTTAACTTCAATACATTTAACTCCAAATTCATCTAAAATAAAATAAATTTTTTGAATAACTGTAAATAATGTAACTTCTTAGCTCCAAGTTTTATATATATATATATATATATATATATATATGTTTGTGTGTTTGTGTGAGTGCATAGAATATGAAAAAGGAATACAGAAAATGTGCATATCAATTAGCCCAAAAACCCTAGCTTATATATAGGAGCAAGTGGTTTAGATTGATAAACATATATGTACATTACCCTATTCCCAAAGGTATCAAAACAACATTAAAAGTGCACTCTCAAAGAAACTAGTGAAGCTACGAGCACGAATGGCCGGTGCTATTCTTAGGCCATCTGCCTCTCAAGTGACTCCACCGCAAAACTTGAAGCCACTTGCTACACTCTATGACTTGTGAGACTTGCCATGGAGCGCTCCACCACCAATATACCTTTAGTGCCAAAATAGCGTCCAATCACAATAATATTCCAACACGTGAGGTGTGAACATCCTCCAACTTAAGGCTGGAGTGTGTTACCTTGCCTCCCACACAAGACAAGTGTGTTAGCTCATCTTTGCTAGAGTTCTAGCCCTGCAATAGGGACTAAAGAAAGGGCATGAACCTCCTCCTAAGGGAACAAAGCTTCAGAATAGGTGTTCGAGAAGAGATATATGGATCCTCTATACGTGTAACACCAAATCAACTTCATTTTCCACTGGTCCCAATTGTGGTAGCAGTCCTTGCCACTAGATCCAAAAATCCTCCCTTCCTGATCATCCTCAAAACAAGATATCATGCATGGTCTTCTAAAGATAATCCAAAAAGTTAGGAACTTTTTCAAATTTTAGCTACTCCAAGTCACCCCTAAAGTGACATCTAACTCCACCAATCCTTGACCGCTACCATTTTTGTCATGTGTTAAGACAAGCAAGATCACATAGAGAATGGTCTGGATTGAAACCAATCTGACGGCTACCAAAATCGCACTATGTTAATATTTGTATATGGCATCGTAGCCGTACACTTAGACCTCACATCATCCCCTCCTCTCAGAATAATGAAAGACCATCAAGGTTCTCTTGTAGATGGGTGGGGATCTGGAGGAACGTCAGGAGGAGGTATCAGCAGATTTGTAGGTGGTATCAACTGTTCCTAATTCTTTTGTACGAAGCGTTTCAACCACTGCACATACACAATTTTTGGAGGATCGGCTTGCTGGACATCATGCCAAACCTCATAAACTTGTGGTCCAATTTGCCACAACACCTAATACAGTCTTTTTCACTGAGTAAATAAACCACATATTGTAAGATGGGGAAAACAGACTAACACCAAGTTATCCACTTTATACTCTGCAGATGGACGATGATGGGAGTTGTAGTGTTGTTGTTGTCCCACATGTACACGGCCTAAGTGTTTAGCAGACTCCGCTTAGATAAGTGGAAGAATACTCGTCAAATACTAATCCCACGATCTAGCATTGGCAACTCATGGCAATCGCGAAGGTAAATTCAGCTCCATTGATAATATTAGATTGTGACCATATAGGAGTTTATATGGTGAAGTACTAACAGAACTCTGCACCCCTGTGATATATGCATACTAAAGAGAGGGCAAATAACCATCCCAATCTGGATGCTGAAAGTTCACATACTTCGTGATCATTCCTTTGAATGTCCAAATGAGCTGTTCTACCAAACTGTTTGACTGTGGATTATAAACACTCGCAAAAGTGTGGCATATCCCCAACCGAGATGTCAAAACATAAAATGCCTAAGCCATAAATATGGGACCATTATCTGAAAGAATCCCCTTTGGACAAAAATATTAAAACACCACTCAATTGAGAAGGAAGTATCCAACAGTAATTGCAAAGGCACTAACAAGAGCACCAACTTCCGCCTAGCAAGTTAAATAGTCAGAAGCAATAATAACATATTCATTGTTAGCAATCAATCGTAGAAAAGGTCCCATAAGATCAAACACCACCGACTCAAACGAACAGAAAATTGCAATTAACTCTAATCATCCTTCCGCAACACGAGGGGGAGTACTACGAGCTTGGCACTAAATGCAACTACGCACATACTGGATAACATCATGTCGCATCTTTGGCTAATAGAAAGACCTGTGAAACTTCTTAGTCACATGACAATGTCCCATATGCCCACCTAGAACAGGAGAATCATGGTAAACCATAGAATAAAGATGGAAGGCACCACCAGCCATAAATGATTATCATAATTCATCCCCACAAAATAAAGAAGAAGAAGGCCATCTTCAAGGTGGTATTGAGAATGTAAATGCTGGAATAGCAAGTCATCAGCAAATGATGCAAGATTCTTAAACTCATATCGAAGCCTTTGAATCTATAGCTCAATCTTTTGAGCCTCGTGAACCTCATCAAGAGAGGGTAAATTTTGCTTTACAACTTATGGACATTGAACGTCAAGTACAACAAGAACACACTAAATTTACAACACTTACCGCAATCATGTCCATGTGCTGCTATGGTGGAGAACAACCTCTAGGCAATCGGTGGGGACGACTTTTAAGCTATGTCAGTGCTAGAGATCTAAAAGAAAAGAGAGGCTTTTGTATGCATGGCGTTCACATCAATGGAATGGACGTGCTCAAAGTTGGTGAGGTGGCCAAGGAAGCCATTGCAAGAGCTTGGAGAGGTGATGGCAGAGTGTGAGACTTATCAGTATATAGAGGTCATTCCAGACAAGCACCACAAGCCTATATAGAGGTCATTCCAGACAAGCACCACAAGCCTGGTAAGTTCCTCTCTTTGTTCTTTGCTCTTTGGAGTTTCTTCTTTGGTTCTTTGGAAGCTAAACTTCATTCTTTCTTTCTGTCCAGGGTATGAGCTCGCCAAGATGCTCCTTGGCGTGTTCTTGCACCATCTTGTCACCCAGTTCCACATGTCGCTCCTCGAACCAAACGCGTTGATCCACTCGCAGCTCCCTCCCCATCAAACTAACAAAACTCTCAAATCGTCAGAGTTTTGGAAACCGTGGAATGGCCAAATCGTTTAATATGAGAAATACCCCTGCACTCACCCTCAGTGTCCGGCGGTTCGTGCAGAGAAAAGCGAGACAATTTCAGGGTCAATCTGTCTAACAGCCACTTGCATGCTGTCAGGGAGCTCCCTGGGAACGTTGGAGCTCTCAATTACTACTGGAGTACTGAATGCTTGACGTTTGTTGCCACCTATTGCAGCGTACCCGTAATCTTTGCTCACCGTGAAGCCTGTCACTCTGATACGTTCGTAGGCACTCACAATCTGTCAAAAAATGATACAAGACATTACAAACAAACATTGAGCTAGGTACCCTTTTGAAATCATTGTCGTCTGTTTTGCCTCCGTTTTTATCTGGATGGTTTTTGGCGGCCAACATCCTGTAGGCAGTGCGTACCTTGCAAAGAAATTTAGAAGTTAGAGAGGTAAAAGCTGAGGCTTGTAATGTGATACCTGGGATGCAGAAGCATTTCTCTGCAGGCCAAGAGTTGCATATGGGCATTCGCTAGCAGATGCTGCCGCCTCCTCTGCTTTCTTTGCATTGAAACAGCTCCCAAGGACGAGCTCGTAAAAGTCGTTTGCTGGTTCATACGCGTATTCCAAACTGGAAAGCAGATAGAGTCACGCAAACTCAAACTCTGGTTGCTTACTCGGATCGAGGAATCTGCCTCAAAGACGCGGATGCTTTAGCTCCACATTCTGCAACTTCCCTTGGCAGCAAAGGAAAGGACATGTCAGAGGCGATGGATTTAATCTACCACGTTTACCGGCAGAGGAAACGGATGGCTTTGGGAAGAGCTTGGGCAGCATCTTCCTCGGATACCAAGGCTAGCTCCGCCACAGGAAGCCAGTCGTCCAGCTTCTTGCTCTGCGCGGAGCCCCTCTGCCTCAAGCAAACCACAAACTCTCGTATCTTGCGATCCGGGGAGAAATCGTCCAAGAGCCGGTCATAGAGCTGCTCCGACCTTCTGAGCAAAACGCTGGCACTTGATGCTGAAGCCACGGTTCTCCAGATTAAAACCAGAGCCAAAGCCAATCAGTAGCCTTACCAGCGGTTTTCGGCGGCGCTCTTGCTCCAAATCCTAGGCCCGGCGCACGAGCCGCCGCACTCTTGGCAGACTTGGCGCCACAGCGGACAATGGCCTTCTTGAGGGATCTTGCATTCTGTCCTTGGCGAGGCCTTGGCCAAAGCCTGGCAACGCCGTGGCACTGCCAGCAAGCCTCCATAGGGTTTATGGATTTATTCCCGCATATCATATGTACAATTGCGCAACGTCAACTGGGCTGCTGCTCTCTAGTATCGACGCTCTCCCCGCAGTAGATTGTCACTATGGAGTCTGCCGCCGCAGCTGCAAGATGGACACTGTATGGATGAAACGAAAGGCAGCTCACCGCCCCAATCTTGACCGCCAAGAAGCTGTTGTAGTACCGAATCCTGCTCACCTCTTGCCCGCTCAGGTTGAACACACGAATGCCGTTGTTCATGGAGCCGGTTGCAATCACCGGTGCATGGCGATGAACACTGAGGGCCGTCAAGTGCCCACGGCTGTGAGCACCAAACCCCCATGCCGCAGCCGATGGAAACCGGAGGTCGAGAAACTTCACGTCTCCAGTCTGCGATGCTGATACAACCTGCACAACCCGACCCTTTTAACACGCGAGAAACAAAAACAGGGATGGGAAAGTCGACGACCGTCTGAGCGCTCGACGCGGACTGGAACTCCAATCCTATCACCCTGTGCGCGTGTGGCCTCATACCAGAGACGAGCCTGCCGGGACAACAGTTGAGAGAAATGCCACGTCCAAAGAAGTATCAAAATCATCTTACGGGCTGTGAGATCGTATGTCGTAGATGCGAACAGCTCCGTCACAACAGCCTACAGCTAGAACCCCCGACGGAGATTGTGATGCAGACTGCAAAACCGAGAGATGATGGAACGCGTAGCTTTCACTCTACAGCAGCAACTCACCATGGCTGAAATGCCACTCTCTCCTGGAGCTTGTATGGTGCATGCCAGCAGCTCTCGGTCGAGATCCCAGACCACAATTGACGACGACTCCCCAGCTGATGCGTACTGCATGCATACACAAACTTAGTATGCAGACCGACCCTCCACAAAGGACACACGTACCAGGTAACCCGTTGCTTGCTGCCAGTCGACGACAGCACTGGCAGCTCGGTTGCCCGGCCTGGGGCCTTGAAGTGCCTGCCACGACGTCGCTAGGCGCTGCTTTCCCTTTATAGCGTAGTCCTTCCAGACCCTTACACTGCCATCGCCTACACCACCATAGATACTCAGGACGAGGCAACAGCATAAAACAAAATGCCAGCTTACTTGAGGCCACCAGCAGCAAACTGTGCTCGAGCTCATTCACGAAACAGAGTTTTGAAACGCCGCGTTCAGGGAAGCTATGGTTGTCGAAAGAGTTCATTTCGCTTCCGTCCTTCTCCTCGTAGTTCCAGACCCTGTTCATGAACCAGACCAGCTCTCGATAAGGGAAACATACTACGTGAAGCTGATCGGCTTACTTGATAGTCTCCTTGTCATCAGCGGCGCAAATAAGGGGGTCAAATGGGTGAAGGACAACTGCTCTCGTACAATTGTCCGATTGTCCATCCCAGATCGGATCACCTAGCTTGGTTACATCTGCAACGAGCCAACACAATTAGCACGGCTAAAAGCGAAAACACGAGAAATGGATAGCCTACGTAAATGCTGGCACTTTGAAATCCCGTCGACTGCTTTCTTCTCGCGCGCTAATCTCAACGCAGGAGCGTCACCGTCTTCGTCCTGAGTTGGCTCAAGCAGTGGCCTTGAGAAGTGGCCGCAGCTCCAGTCGTAGAGGGAGGAGGCAGGCACGTCTTGCTGGGAAGTTTGGTTCGTAGCGGAAAGGATGGAGCCGGCTTCCGCAAATCCTGCCATGGAGTGGACCTTGGGAACTGTAGGAGTCAGGCCGCTGCTTGCTTCCCCCGGAATACGTGATGACAGTCTCGTCGACTCACGTGCAGTTAAGGATGGGGAAAATTCAAGGGACGGCACCCTCCTCATTCCCATTGGGCTGACGCTTAGAAAGCTCGGCCTGGTAGGACTCGCGGAACTTCTTAGAGGCGCGACCAGAGATGCTGCAAGAAAAAAAAATATAAACTTGGATGAGAAAAGGAAAAACTCCCTGGGCCTCACCTAGATTAGTTTCAACCCACGACGTAGAGCGAGTCAGTCCGCCACCCGCGCCAAGATGAATGCTCGGAACAGACGAATTGCGGTGATGCCCCGGCTTGCCTGAGCCTTTCCATGAGTTGAGCAGGGAGCCAACGCCTATAATGTGCAAAACCTTCTGACCCAGCTCCGCTACTTGTGGCGACGTATCCCGAGCCAAAGCATAGGCAGTTGCAATGCAACGCAAGTACAAGCTGTTATTGTCCTCGGCGCGGGGTCTCCTGAGCTTCAAAGTGCCGTTGCCGTTGGAGCCGTTCACTACAAGCCTGGATCCATCCAGCGGCGACGATGCCCCGGACGAGGGGGCGGACGAGGGAGCTGACGACGAATTACTACCATCTTGCTTCTCACCGCCAGCTGCTGACACATCCGGTTGAGCTTTCTGGTCCAGGCTAAGTGACCGAACTACCAGTAGCACTTGAGACGGACAAATCAGGCTGCCTGTAGGACTCTTGCTGGAAGAGAGGTCCGCCAGCGCAGGGTTCGAAGGCGGCTTCAAATATGCAGCCGCCGCGGAATTCAGAAACTTATGATGGTTGGTAGCGAAGTGCGCAAAAGCTGCGAGAGAGAGGGAGCGTGAGAGGCCTGCAGTTAAAGTACGTTATGCCCATACCTATGGCAAGTTCAGCTCTGACCAGAGGACTCCCATCACCCACCGCTCGCAAAAGAACCTTTGCGATGTCCTGCTCGATCACGAGTCTATCGTCTTCGTTATCATCCTCTGCCGCCGCATCATTCTTTGAGGAAGAGAGCAACGTCCCCAGGGCGAATACAGCCGACGCTCGGACCTGACTTGGAACATGTCACACAAGCTAGGCTGGATCACCAAACATAAGCAACAGGACGAAGGTTACCTCGGGTTGCGGTTCACTCAAGAGTTGAGCCAAACTACTAATGGCATTCTCGCGGAAGGCACATGCCTGGGCTGCACTTGTACCATCCCAAAGCTTGCCGAGGCATAAGCACGCCCATTGCAGAAAGAGAGGCTCCGCTTGCGTTTCCAGTTCAGTGCCCGCTTGAACATGGCGTAGAAGGATTGAAACCACGCCCGCTTCGTGGCATGCAAGCTGCCCACGAGGATACCCGTCAACAATGACGGAAAGAACGAAAGCAGCCATAGCTTGCTGTTCTGCCAGATAGTCCGGGCTGTCCAGAAACCTGATGAAGTACAAATGACCTTTGTCCTTTACCAGATCGACCTGGCATGACTGCAGGCGATAGAAGGAAATTAGAACAAACTAGAACAAGAACGAGAGGGAGTGACGCGCGTGTTACCTTGTCCAGGGCAAGGATCTTCGTCCATATAAATACCAATATCTGCCGAAGTTCTGTTGCCGTCGTTTGAAGTAGCTTGAGGACGTAGGGGAAGATACCGACGGATAAAGCCTGAGAGCAGCTGCTGTTAAGACGAACACAAGAACCGCGAACATAAATAACGAACCAGATCGATTGCCCAAGGTCCCATATCCAGAAACCTCCCCAGTAGTACCAGAGCCCGAAACCGATGCGACTGGCTCAGTAAAACCTGAAGCACAATTGGTAACTGCTCCGGGGGCGGCTTCCTCTCTGATCCCGAGCTAAGCCACACCTCGAAAGCAGAAAGCTGCTGCGCAAAGAATGAACTTGGCTGCACAAAACATGGGAGGAAGAACAAAATAAAAAATAATGAGTCGTGCACGCTTACTTTGAATTCCGCATTCGGATCATCGAGCAGAGCCGGAAGCTGAGCCAAACAGAACTCTGCTGCCATATCCCAGGCGTCCCTGCATCAACTTTTATATGTGAACAAGCTGTAAACGCAATAGGAGCGGGGAAAAAAGATACAGACCACATTGGATGCTGATGAGTGAGAGGCAGCCGCGGATAACATTGAGGTGCACAGTTGGCAGACCTCATAATCCGCTCCGCAAGGAGAAAGTTTCGAAATAGACTTGCAACCAAAAGGTCTTGCCGGAACAAGCGCTGGAAAAGTTCTGCACAGGCTCATGTAAGACAGAGAGGAGAGAGGAGAGGTAAACACAGTACATACCCGGTGGAAGCACATTCCAGGCAATGGTGTCGGTGACGGCCGTGAATATCCAATTCAGTTCCCCGAGTGGAGTCTTTCGGTCAATCTGTCGGCCAGGAATCTTGTCAACGAGGTCCAAGCGGAGTGAATCCCGCAGCAACGATCTGGAGCAGAACCTGCAAAGTGCAGATTGAAAAGGCGATAAACAAAGTTGTGCTCACTCTCTCTCACCATCTCAAAGCAACTTTGATAGGCGTCGTCAGACACGCTGTGAACAAGTCCGCCGGAAACACGGGGTTCTGAGGAAGGAGCTCGTTTGCACCACAGGCAGCGAGTAAAATGCAATTTTTCGTTGCTGTGAAGTCTGGACGCTGGAAAAGTTGACAGGTAAGACAAGCAAGCGAATATTTTGTTTCTTTTGTTTCTTTTTTTTCTTTTTGGTCTACCTCGCAGAAGGCCTTGATGATTGCTCCGGCACCAGAACAATCAAAGACGTAAATGGATGGGGAGCCCAGCCACGAATCCAGCTCATACACGGAGAGGGGGATGTACTGCGTGTAGCTCTGCAAATGCATTGTTGGGAAGAAGAAATGAAGAAGCTCGCACCTGGTTGAAAAACCATATCTCCCCGCTTGCTGTTGGTTTCGGCACGCCATGCCCATTGTAATGGAACAAGACCCTTTCCGACTTGGCCGTTTCCCTGCACTGCACGCACAGTTTCTTCACCTCGTCAACCGTGGAGTCGAGCCGAAGGTTGTACAGTGCCTACTGCCAAAAAAACCAGCAAGCTGAGAACCCGAGCCAAGCGCCTGTGGTGCGTTGCGGGCTATAGCTTCCTACCTTGGGTTGCCATCGCTTGTACTGCGACTGCAGCGTCTGCCCAATCACATCAATGGCCTTTGCCGACGGCTCTGGAAAGAAGAAAGAGTATAAGGCCTGACAGAGCTCTTCCGCGCTTCTTACCAATCCAGCACTCCATCCGCGCACAAGGGCTGATCTTGATAACATCCGGCGGATCGATGCCGATGTTGAGGCACAGAACAAGCGCGACGCATCCCGTTTTCATCTGGCGGCGGCGAACAGTGAGCGTGCATTGGAGTGGGCAGCTACAGAAACCTTACCCGATCCTTCATTCTCCATTTGGACACAGCGGCGGTGGCGGCAGGGGGCGCCGCCGCCGCCGCCTCGTGGCGGAGGTCGCAGAGGTAGCAAGCGGGCGGGAGAAGCGCCGCAATGCCCCTGGTTGTCGCGTTCCCGCCCTCGTCCATGCCCACGCAAATGCACCAAGAGCTCCTAGAGACGCGGCGCTGGCGCTCCAATCCCAGTGCCTAGTGTGCCCCCAGCGAAGGCGGTGCTGAGCTTCATCGCGGCCCTAAAATCTGGAAACCTCCTAAAGCCCTAACCTACCATCTCCCCCCGTGTGCACCGAAGAGCCAGCTGGGAGCTGTCCCATGCCCCTCGAGTGCCGACCAGGGCAGCTGCAGCGAATCGAACCCCCTTTCTTGTCTCTCGCCATTTCAGTGTGTGTGTGTGTGTGTTTGTATGTAATATAATATCTCTCTCTCTCCTTTAAGCTTAGGACTAAGTAGAACGAGCACGATGATCATCCGCGCCTCATTTGCTTCTTCCACTTGTCCGCGCAGGCGATGGCGTTTGCGCGCTCTTGGGCGGGCAATTGCTGCACCAGCGCGTCGCGGATGTGTATGGCAGCTGTTTCCCCCGCCCGCGTCGCCAGCTCCAGGAACGCCAGGGCCAGGCCGCCGTCGCCCTCCTGCATGCAGAGCAGCAGTGAGAAACAAGAGCGCCACCCTTCCTCCCTACCGCGAACAGTGTCAAGCCGTGCTCGAACTGCGCCTTGCGGTGCCCCGCCAGCGCCGCACGCCGCATCCAATGCCGCGCGTGGTGATAGTTGCGAGCAAAGCCCTCTCCGGACAGGAAGCACAGGGCCGTGTTGTACATTGCTCTCGAGCTCCCGCCCTCGGCTGCTCGCAAGTACCATCGAGCCTGCCGCAAGCACACGTTGAAAAAACGAAAAGAGAGCCTCACAGACTTACAGCCTTGCCGGGATTGGGCTCGACACCGCGTCCCTGCTGCAAGCACAGGGCCAAGCTGTACTGCGCGCGGACATGGCCAGCGTCCGCGGCCGTCTGGAACCACTTGACGGCCTCACTGGCGTCCACCGGTTCTGCAAGCAGCCCACCAGCGTTTGTTGCTGAAAACAAAAAGCTGGAAACCACGGACGTACGTACCTTGCAGCAACGCCAGGCCGAGGTTGCACTGCCCGGCGACATCACCGAGCTCGGCAGCTTTCCTATACCATTGAATGCCTTCCTCCCTTCTCCCCTATATACCCAGAAACTTGATCAAGCGAGGATCCCCAAAGGAAGAAACAAACGCAAGCAACAAACAAGCCAAGCCAATCTCTACCTGTTCCCAAAGCAACAAGCCAGCATCGATCATGGCAGCTGCACATCCCCGCGCAGCTCCCTTGAGGAACGAATCTAAAGCCATGCCTGTGTCCTGAGGCACACCACCCCGCCCATGCTTGTACATTTTCCCCCACTTGACAAACGTTACTGCCTCGCGGAGAGACGAGAGCGCTTGGTACCACGACTTGCACACCATGCTCGCAGCCCACAGGTTCGGCAGCGAGAAGCCCCCAGAGATCCGCCGCAGGACGTCGAAGGGCAGCTGCGAGAAATCCACATCCTCCTGCCCCTGCTCGCGCGCTTGCTGCTTCACCAAGCTCGCACCTCTCGACGATGGCTGCTGCTGCGCTTGGAACGCAGCCGGCACTAGACTTATACTCCCACTCCCATGCCTGCGAGCGTCCACCCCGCCTTGCTTCCAGAACCTCCTCTCCAGATCGCCGGGCTCCTGCTGTTGCGGCTGCTGCTGCTGCTGCTGCTGCTGCGACCTACTGCTCCTGCCGTGGAAGCCATCCAGGCCGCCAATGTTGCTGAACAGAGTCACGCTCTCGTGGCTCAGGTGCCTGTCCCGCTCCGAGGACGACGCGCTGTGCTGCTGCTCCTGCTGGCGGCGGGGATCCCGATCACGCACCTGCGCAGCTTGGCGGCTGGCTTTGAGCTTGAAAGATCCCATTCTTCCCCTCTCCCGCGGATCTCTCCACCAGCTGCGAGCCTGCTGCTGCTACAGGGGGCAGCCCTAAACGCGGATCGCCATAGCCAAATCGTGTTTTTTTGAAACAGCATCTTCACCACGATCGCAGCCGTCGCTTTGGGTGAATATTCCGCCCTAATCTTCACTCTCGTCCTCCTCCTCCATGAAGAGCAGCGGCAGCGGCAGTGGGAGCGGCGGCAATGCGCGGCGCGCAGCAGCTGCCGCGCCCCTCAGCAACTACGAGTTCGATTTCGGGAATCTAGGTCGCGGATCTGGCAACACCACGCTCAGCGGCCTCAAGCAGCAGGCCCCATCGCAGCCGCAACCACAGCAGCCACAGCAGCAGCAGGCCAAGAAAGCACAGCCACAGCCATGGACTCACAAGCCGGTCTCCAGCTTAACAGGTACGAGCTCCATGGTGGGAGACATCACCGGCAGGAGCTGGGTGCCACTCGAGTCCAGTGCCACTGCGAAGAGCAGGCCGGCGAGCAGTGGAGTCGTGGGTGGAGTTGGCAACTCCAAAGCGGATCTCTTCAGCGATCTGCTCAAGACGCCCATGACCGCGATGAAATCTGGATCTGGATCTACTGCGGCCCCCATGGCTGCGTCGCTCAACAGAGGGGCTCCCATGAAGGATGGTGGCAGATCTGCGGATGCTGGTGGTTTCGTGGGCATGTCCGCTCCACCGCCGCCGCCTTCAGCTGGTGGTGGTTTCGTGGGCATGTCCGCTCCACCACCGCAGGCAGCTGCCATGGACAAGCTCTTTGAACCGGCTTCTTCAGGCAGAGCTCAGGATCCTCTGGATGATCTCTGGCGCAAGATACCACCACCGCAACCACAGGCTCCTCCACAGGCACAAGCTAGCGTGAGCAAGTCCAACGGGATTCATGGCCTCAACGAAGACGACTGGGACACGGGGTTTCAAGCCGCCGATGCTGCTCACCCGGCGCCGGCCACCACCGAGCTCGACGGACTACCACCTCCACCGGCTGGCGTTACGGGCAGCTTGGCCAAAGACAAAGGCGACGAGTTTCAAAAGCAAGGCCAGTTTGCCGATGCGATCAAGTGGCTGACTTGGGCCGTGGTGCTGCTGGACAAGTCCCCAGACAAGCTGACTGGAGTTCTTGCCACTCGAGCGGCGTGTTACAAAGAAGTCGGCGAGTACAAGAAAGCTGTTGGCGACTGTTCCAAGGTAGTAGGCTTTACTTTTCAATTTGGTCCGTCTTCGTCACACCCGGTTTCACTATTCCAGGTGTTGGAGATGGCCGGGCCGACTGCTGAGGTGCTCTTGCAACGGGCTTTCCTGTACGAGAGCATGGAGAAATACAAGCTGTGCGTGCAAGATCTGCGAGAGGCTTTGCAGAGAGACCCCTCCAACAGGATGGCCAGGAACACGCTGGCGAGGCTGGCTAGGATGGCTGACGAGTGACAAATTGTATTCTTGGGTATTGTTTCTTTCCCATTTTTCCATCCCAATCACTTCTTGTGCCGACTGCGAGGGTACAGGAGCTGGTGTAGCAAGAGCTGTGCAGTGTCGATGCATCTGGCCTGCAAGGCAGCACTTAAATAATCATCGGAATGGTATTCGTGTTTGCTCATCTTACTCGTCTAGCAAACGCGAAACGCATGGTTTTCAGTTCGATGCCGCGGCATGCTCTCACGTCCACTCCGAGGCTGTCCACTCCGATCACCACCACCTCCTGTCGTAAAGCTCAGCACGTAAGAAAGGAGAGAGATCGGAAGGAATTGCACCTCAAAATCTACACCGTGCTCCCTATGACACAGGCTCTTGAGGGCGCGTTTCACTTTCTTTCCACCCGAGTTTAAACGCTTGATTATGTCCGGGGCTGCATGAGCCAAGACATCCGCCTCAGAGTATCTGAACTCCTTGACATCCACCGAGGCCTGCAAAAGCATAGTGAATACTAGTGGCTGATAAAGCTTGCAGAATGCTTACGTGAGCTCCAATATCAGATGCAAGTTGAATGCTTTGAATCTGAAACTTGTACAGCGATGTTTCAGACTCGCTGCTGTCTGACCACTCTTCTTCTTCGCTCTCGGATGATGAAGCTGCATATCAGGATGAAGCATATTGAAATCTATAATCCCCATTCTCCAGTTACACGTACCCTCTTGTGTTTCTTCTTCGTCTCCGCTGCTCTCGTCATCATCTTCCCAAAGGAACCGCTCCTCCCACATTTTACGAGCAGAAGCTGCTTCCTCCTCGGTCACACTGCTCACCACCCCTGTCATGGCCAGCCGCATCGACGGCTTGAAGATCCCGGAAACGGGGTCCAGAGATGTAACCTGCAACAAGAATGCTCTGTTGACGTGAGCATAACAAAGCAGCAGAACGAAGTTTACCTTGGCAAGCTTAGATGCAAACACCATAGGATGGACACCGAGGGGCATGTCGCAGGTGTCCGAAACATCCTCAGATTCCGAAATGTCACCGTCTTGGCTACTAATCTCGTCTTGGCTGCTATCGTCCTCAACAAAAGCCTCCACATCCTGCAAGCAAAGGTCAGTTTTCAAGCTCACAAACCTGGCCTCACCACCTGCAGTGTAGCAGGATCGTCTGCCAGATGGTTCTCATAAGTAGGCAGCAACTCGGTCGTCAGCAGCTCGTTGAGCTCGCCAAAGCCGATTATAAACTGTACGCAAGCCTAAGAGACATGAAGAACTGGAGAACTTGGGATGTTTACCGAGCACTGGGGATTCACGGCCAAGTTGTGCAAAACATCATTGTCATCCGCTAGTTCAAAGTAGATATCTGCATAACACACACAACTCGATCGCACTGAGCCGGAAACCTTGTTTCTGTGCATACCTCCGTGCTCGTCCACAACGAACATAACTTCGGTGCCGTACACGGCATTGCTTTGAGACAAGGCGGGAGCTAAAAGAATCGCGTTGCTGTTAACCTGCAAAAGGCGAGAAAGTTCCACCGACGTCAACAGGAGGAAAGAGGAACCCAAACCTCGGCAATTGTGCGTGCAATCTCCCCGTCGTTGAGCTTGCTCGTGCGCACTCTCTCCAGCTGCTCTTTCTCCCCACTCGAGAGTTCTTCCAGAGGGTGAAACCCATTCCCGCTCTTCCACACATCAGGCCGCGAGTCCGAATTGTTGGCTGCCGCAGCCGCATTGCAGCACCAAACTGTTGCCCTGTGCTGACCCCGGCTGCCGTTGCTGTTGCTGCTGCTGCTGCTCACACCAAAGTCAAGATTTTACTAGTCTGGATTAGTCTTCGCTTTGGAGAACCTGTAGCAGTAGCACTTCTTCACTGCTGCAATTCGGCTTCCACAGCAGACAGCGGCACCACCTGGAACAACAACAACACGGGCGCTTGAAACCGGATGGAGGAACCAACCCAAGCTTACCAATGCAGACGAGGGCAGCAGCAGTGGCCGCCATAGCGCTCCAGCTCACTCATCCATTGCCCTGCCCTCTCTTTTTAACAAGGATTTGAGTAATTCGATGTTGTTAACCAGCCGCCGCAAGGATTCCCACGAACAAGACATCTTCTCCTCCGTCTAGCTCCTGCTCGTGTGGAACGAACTCTGGGACTTTGGACACCGGGAGGCCCCGGCATGCGCTCAGCAAGCTGGTCCGAGAATCGGGGCCGGGAATGAAAGGCATGGCGTCCATCAACTCGTGAGCGTCTTCCAAGTTGCCGGCTCGGCCCAGGAGATCCACAACGCATGCATAGTGATCCAACCCCGGCTGGATCCCATAGTCGCCAACCATGGACACAAAATGGCTCCACCCGAGCTCCACGCTCCCGGCATGGTTGCAAGCCGACAGAATGCTGATGAAACTGATGGAATCTGGCGTGAACCCGTTGAGCTCCATTCTCCAGAACGCGAGCCGAGCCAGGCTGCTGAATCCGTTCTGCGCGAGAGCCGCCACCATCGCAGTCCACGAAACAAGGTTCTTGCTGCTCATACCGTCGAAGGCAGCCACCGCCTCCCCGAGCGCTGCACACCTGCTGTACATGCTCACCAGTGCGGTCGCCACCTTTCCACCATCTTGCAGCGCCGGGTCGTCAGCAGCCACAATCTCGGCGTGGAGAATCCTCCCCTGTGCTAGATCCGAAGCCATGCCGCATGCCTCAAGCGCAGAGATGTAGCTCACTGCGTCCGGCTTGCACCCATCCAGGTCCATGAGTCCGACGACGCTCGCGGCACTCTGGCACTTGCCACTGAGCAGGCGGGCCGATGCCAGCGCGCTCCACGACGCCGAGTCCTTCTCGGGCATGCGCTCAAAGAGCTGCTCGGCTCTCTGCGTAACACCTCCACAGGCATATGCATGCAGCATCGCATTCCACGACGCCTGTGACGTGAATGGCATCCTTCGGAAGCACTCCTCGACGAGCTCAAGCACAGCAGCATCCTCAGTCACGGTGAATGCTGGCAGCATCGTGTTCCAGGACACGACGTCGCGCTTGGCTGTGTCCGGCATCGCATCGAACAGCAGCTTGGCCTCTGCCACCCGTCCCGCACGAACGTAGCCCGCAACCATGGAGTTCCAAGATACGGTGTTCCTGTGGAGCATCGCGTCAAACACCCGCCTCGCCTCTTCTACTTGTCCCTTCAGACCATAGGCACCGATGACGGAGTTTGTGGCGGCAAGGCTGAAGCAAACCAGCTGCTGGAGCAACCGTGCAGCACTGCCGGTCTCCCCGGCCAACCCATACGCGTGCACCATTGAGTTCCAGCTCACAATGTCGTGCTGCGGCATCCGCTCAAACGCCGCCACTGCGCCCTCCAACGCCAGCGCTCTCACCATGATGTTCCACGTCACCACGTCCCGGGCGGGAATGCCGTGGTGGAACATCTCGGTCGCCTCTCGCACGCGGCGGCCGCTGGTGAGAGCCGCCATCACCATGTTCCATGCCGCCACGTCCCACCATGGCATCCTCCGCAGCGCATCCAACGCGTCGTCGGGACTTGAGCGTCGGGAGCAGGCACAGATGAGCGCATACCACGAGTACTTGTCCCGCTGCGGCATCCTCCCAAACATGGTTGCCGGTGACTCGCACCCGACGCCTTGGATCACCGAGTTCCAAGCCGCCAAGCTCCACTGCGGCATCCGGTGGAAGGCCACTGCCGCTACGTCCGGCTGCGAGGCACGGCAAAACGCTTGCAGCAGCAAATTCCACGTCACGCTGCTCCTCCCGGGCATCTGGTTGAAGGCGACCAAAGCATCAGAAAGGTGCCCTTCACGGGCACACGCGGTGATTACTTCGTTCCAGCAGATCACGTCCCAGCACGGAAACCTCCAGAACACCGCTTGCATCTCCTCCAGCCTACCGTCGCGGGCACAGGAGTGCAGCATGCTCGTCCAGGAGATTAGCTCCCGGACAGGGAGCTTGTCGAACAGCTCCCCCACCTCGTCCCTGCTAGCTGTATGGGCGAATGCCGAGAGCATCGAGCTCCAAGAGAAACCATCCGTGGCAGGCATCTTGCCGAAAACCTCGCGAGCCTCAGATGTTGCACCGTGTCGGGAGTAAGCTCCCAGAATCGAGTTCCAAGATACCACGTCCCGATCGAACATTGCATCAAAGAGGCTCTTGGCATTTTCCAGATGCCCGTTTCTGGCAAACCCCGAAATAATACGATTACACGAGAGCGTGCTGGAGGGCATTAAGTAAGCATCGTAATTTTCTTAGGCCTGCCTGTAGAGGATCTCATCAACCTTTACATGCAACAAAATCAACTAGAGCTTTGTGTGCTATGATAAGTACTCGTTTTGCTGCTATCCTGACGAAGCTTTCTTGAGCCGCGTAATCAGATCACTCTGCGTGGAAGCAGCAAGCCCGTCACGTACGTATAAGAAACCCAAGTCGTAGGATCGCTTACCTTCCTTCCCTTGACTGGCAGTCCTTTCTCTTTCAAAGCGGTCCTGAGCATCTCCACAGTGTAGCCTTCGTAGGAAGCGCTGCCGGATGCTGTATCCACTGAATTGCACACCATCGAATCAGCTCAAGTAACAAGGAATGTATAGAGAAGAAAGACATGGATTCGAGAGATACGTACCCTTCTTCTTCTTGCTCGACTTGCTACTCTCGGGCTTGTCAGCAGCAGCCCTGCACAAGACAAGAACTTGCCCGTCACAGGAGCGTCATTTCAATCGCAGCACAACCTTTTCTTCTTGGGGGCGTCGGCTTGCTTGGCCTTGTCCTGCGCCTCCTGCTCCTTGGGCTTCTTGAGCATCAAAGAGCGGATGAGAATGTTGGTCGAGTCCGTCTTGACAACCTGGACGCCTGGAAGAGGAGACAACGGAGTCAGCGAGGCGAGAACCCGAAACTGGACAACCTGGTCGAGGATCACTATCGCAGACATAGACACGAAGGCCACCCTGATCATACAAGAAACAAAGAACCCTCTTGGAAACAACAAGTTGCGAGAACAAAGCGCTACCAGGCTTGACGATGGCACGACGGAGGTGAAGTTGCCCCTGGACGGGAGGCCCAGCAGCGATGGATTCCCTTGCGGAGAGGCTTCGGCGCTACATTCTCCCTCCATAGCTTTCCCTCTCCTCGCCTAACCCTAGAATATAAGCCAGAGAGCTTTCATTCTGGAGCTGCCGCCGCCCCGCCGAGATGGTCAAGGGCAAGGACAAGCGCGTGAATGAATTCCAAGCCCACAGGCGCAAGCGCAAGAGCAAGGCTGCGATCGCAGGGGGTGGGGTGAAGAAAAAGAAGGTTTGCAAGAACAAGGACAAGCAGGAGGAGGAGGAGGTTGCGGTGCTTCCAAAGTGGCATAAGAGACGTAATTCTCTTCTTCCTTGCTTGTCTTTCCTTGTGCTAAGTTTCTCGGCTCTTGCTTGCAGCGGAGAGCTCGCGAGTCCCTGATTTGCAATTGCCAACCAGCTCCAAGGCGCGTTGCCATCGTTCCGAAGCCGCGAAGAAAAATGCCCATCCAAAGTTTTACAAAATGTCGAGCCCCGTGACCATCGACAGTGGCCATTCTGTTATCAAGGGCATGGACATGCACTCCGAAGGTTTCATCTCCACCTGGTAAGATCCTTATCTGTTTGTCAAACATGGCTTTGAGAATGCTCTCTCTCTCTCTCTCTCTCTCTCTCTCTCTCAGGGCACAAGACGGAGGCATCAGGATCTGGAGGCTCAGAGGAACAAAGTACGTAAGAGAACTATCATCCATTCCATTCAGAGTTCTGAAAAATACCTCCTTTTTTTGGCCTTCCAGTGGTGCCATGACAAGCATTTGCAGCGCTCACTTACATGAGTGTCCTCAGGATATGGAGTGGCACCCGGATGGCAACAGACTGTTTGCAGCGTTCAAGAGCACCGGTCGGGCTCAAGTTGGATACTATGATCTATCCGACGACGTAAGTGCTCTCGTTTGGCGTGCTGCTAATGCTTAACTTTCGCCTCGCCTAACAGAGATTCCGGCTCTTGCCAGGGGAGCCCCATTGTACGGGATTGCTTCGCAGCATCAAGTTCATGCCATGGCAGGTTTCTGGTGCTCCGTGTTTCGCAACGGGTGGCGACGACCACTCGGTTGTTCTTTGGAAGGAGTCGCAGGAGCACTGGACCAGTCAGAAGCTTTACAACAGCCACAGCTCGTTTGTATACGGGGTAGCGGGTGCCGCGCACAAGTCCTTGATCGCTTCAGCCAGCGTGGACAAGCACCTCCGCATGGTGGATGTGGTCAGTGGCACCGACTACTTCTGTGGCAAGTTCGACAGCTCGTTGCTCAGTGTGGAGTTCAACCCCGTTGATCCCAACCTCCTGCTGCTCACGGGATGGTGAGCTGCTTTTCTTTCTTTCTTTCTGCTCACTCCTGACAACAGACTTTTGCAGTGTCGAGAAGAAGCAGCTAATGCTCATGGACTTGCGCTACCTTGATCCAGAATCGCTGGTCCATAGCTTTGGCTGGGAAATAGGCGAAAACCATCCCCGGGTAACCAGGCAGTTCCAGCAGTGCTGGTCTCCAGATGGATGGTACGTCTCGACGGGGAGCTGCGAGGACGGTTATGACATCTTCGACATCCGGTACAACAACTACTTGTCGACTCACTCGGTTCACGGTACCAAGTCAGGCGTGGTGAAGACCCAGTGGCACCCGGTAGTGAACGATTTGCTCATTTCGGCTATAAGGGGGGGAAGGATCTGGCTGCAGCAGATCATTTAAACCCCCCAACTTGTTACGAGTATAAGATTACAGACAGGGAAGCAACACTTTGTCCAGGTAAGAGATTCCTTTTGTGTGTTTCAGGTGGACTAACTGTTGACTAGCCTGCAGTTGGCTCGGATTTGGCCTTTGCTTCCAGTCAACGGCGAGAGGTTGCCCATCTTTACCATTGCATCGGCAAAGTCCTTGAAGAAGGCGGCTTTGCTGCTGCTGTAGGCGTTGACGGCATCCTGCGTGTCTCCAGGTGTGGAATACAGGACTTGGTCGGAGCGGAAGAGGCCTTTGTTCACCTGTAGGAGTTTGAAGTAGATGTTGTCGAATCCTGCGGGAGTGGTGGGATCGAATGCGGAGATAGAGCGGTCGTGGGTTGCTGAGGGGCACTGCTGCTTCAGTTCAGTCACGTAGTGCTGCTGGAGAATGGGATCGGAGCTGCCAGAACCGCTGAAGTTGTAGAGACGGTCACGGAAGAACACACACTGAGCATGGCCGATAGTGTGGCCACCGGACAAGGCAACCATGTCTCTGGCACTCAGCCCTTTGGCCTTGAATCTGGCAACCAGCCGCGTTGCATTGTCAAAGAAGGAAGGCAAGTCCTGGTTTGCAGTGTCCATGCTGGCGCTTGTGCTGTCTCTCCGACCGTAGACAACGGTCCATGTTGGTCCTCCCGACTGCAAGAACCAAACAACAAGGAATGAAGTTGAGAAGGTTGGCTATACTTCGGCTTACAAGAACGACAGCCTCTCGAGCGGCAAGGGAGACAATATCGGCGCAGGACACGACGCCCTTGCACTGCTGCTCCACCTTGCTCTTGATGTCGTCGATGACTTCGAATCCCCGCACCGATCTCCTGTTTGGCAGTGCGTTCTTCTCGCTGGTGATACTGCTCGTGTCGTCCAGCAGCAAGGATGCGTCGCAGCCATTGACGAAGCAATCGTGGAAGTGGAGGCGGAGGAGGGAGGCCGCCATGCGAGGCTCCTTGGCTACCGCGCTGCTCACGACACTAGTTGCCAGCGAAGGCAAGCCCGGGCAGCTCTTGTCGTAGAAGTTTGCACTCAGCTGCTGGGCCGTTACCAAGCTCAACGCAGAGAGGAGAAGATGAAGGTGGAAGAATGCGGCCATGGCTGCTGCAATTGTGCGCTCCACCAAGACGGGTGAGATGTAAATTTATAATTCGGTTCGTGGGTTGAAGTTTCAACCACTCACTCCTTGTTGACAGCAACCATCACTAAGTCTGAGTGGATTTTTATAGAAAGAAGACAGCTTTCCTGATCTTTGGCCTTAGCCTAGGGCGAAAGCGGCGGCTCCACCCAAATGCGCAGGTTTGTGGTTGGATTCTTCTTCTCTCGTTCACTCGGTCCATTCTTTTGCTCAGGGTGCCAAGATCCGGCATGAAGCGAAAGCAGCTAGTGCGGCTTGATCGCAGGGTGAAGGATCGAGCTATGCATGCAATGAGGACTGTTATATACAAGAAAAAGACGACGGTGGTGACCAAGACGGTCACCACAACGGCATTCACGGGAAAGAAGGCCAAAGGTGACACTGATCCGGAGGACGAGGAAGAGCCGGTACACGAACCTTCGTCGGATGAAGAGTCATCCGATTCAACCAGCTCTTCCTCCTCCGAGGAAGAGGAGCAGGAGGAGGAGGAGCAGTCAGGTGCCCTTTGCAAATGCATGGGTGGTGGCAGTATTACGAGCAACATTGAAGACGAGAATTCTGAAACCTCAGAGGAGGAAGATAATAGCAGCGGTGGAGCAGTGTGCTCGGAATGAAACATTTCTCTCAAAGCTGCTCTAGCTAGACATCTCTAAATAAAAGTGGCCGTGAACATGGCCGCGGCAACGACGCCACCACCCTTGGTTTCTTTCTTCCACCAGAGGGAGGAGTATGTAAGATTGTTGCTGGGCCGAGACAAGCAGCCAGCTCTGCCTCAACTCAGGGCTCTTCATGCAAGGATTGTCAAAAGTGGGCATGATAGAGAGACGTTTCTTAGAAATTTGCTGCTGGAAATGTATGGGCGGTGTGGCAGCCTGGGAGATGCACGTCGTGTTTTCGATGCAACTGATCACAAGAATCTTTTCACCTGGAACACGATGATGGTTGCTCTCGTACGCAACGCCCAGCATTGTGCTGCCGCATCTCTTCTTCACGTCATGGACCTCGAAGGCGTCACCCCCGGCAGTCTCATCTTGGCCACCCTTCTATCTTCCTGCTCCATGTCGGGCAACCTGAAACTGGGCAATTGGATTGCTGTGCGAGCGGCTGCTACCGGCTGGTCTTCCAGCGTTTTGGTCAGTTGCGCAGCGATTTCCATGTACAGCAGCTGCGGTCGCCTCCACGAAGCTTGCCTGGTTTTTGAGACTGTCCAAGGCAGGTGCTCTGCGTCCTGGAATTCCATGATTGTCGCATATACCCAGCATGGGCATTTGCACAAGGCATTGCAGCTGTTGGAGGCAAACAGGTGTGACAAGCTTCCACCTTCACATGTACTGGTGGCTCTTCTCGGCGCTTGCTCTAAGACAGCGACAGAGGAATCGCTGCAAGTTGGCCGGAGGCTGCACTCTATCATAATCCACGGCACAAGTCCCAGTAGCGAGAACGATGCCATCGTCTACAATTCCCTGGTGGACATGTATGCCAAGTGTGGCAGTGTGGAGGAAGCCAAGGTGGTCTTTGAGAGGATGACATATCGAAGCCAAGTGTCCTGGAACGCCATGGCCTGTGCATATGCCCAGCACGGACACGAGACAGAAGCAATGCGGGTGTTTTGGGCAATGGATCTGGAGGGCGTCAAAGCGGATGCTTTCGTGTTCCCCAGTATCCTCTCTTGCTGCCGGACACTGTGCGAGTTCAGAGCCCTGCACGCCAGGATTATCGCCTGCGGCCATGAGTCTGATGTTGTGGTGCGGAATGCCCTCGTCCGTCTGTATAGTGAATTTGACAGCATTGACGATGCCCAGAACGTTTTCGACAGTCCCGCATTTAGGAGGACGAACAACGTTGTGTCTTGGAGCTCCATGATTGCCGCATACGCTCGGTGTAAGCATGCGCCTCAAGCTGTGGCATGCATGAGGAGGATGGATCTGGAAGGCATTACACCCAATTCTATCACATTCCTGTGCCTTGCGGAGGCTCTGCGTCAGCTAGGTGATTTTGGCTTGGTGAAACTGTTTCATGTAAGAGCAGCAGCCAGCGGTTGCATGACGAGCATGGTGGAGACGGCACTCATCCAAATGTATGCCAGTTGCGGAAGGATTGACCGCGCACAACACTTGTTCTGGCGGATGACTCGCAAGAGTCTGACAAGCTGGTCTGTTATCATCTTCGAGCTCGTGCAGGCGGGTCTTAATGCAGAAGCACTCGATCTCTTCTACAAAATGGCATCGTCCCGAGAGCCAGACATCGTCTGCCTGGTAAACGCTCTTGGTGCCTGCTGCGGCTCGTCGGCACTGGCAGACGGTAAAAGGATCCACAGACTCATCTCTGACCGGGGATTCGAATGCGCTGCCTCGGCTTGTGTAGCACTGATCAACATGTATTCCAAGTGTGGCGGCTTGAGCAATGCTGCCACTGTTTTCACGGCTTGGCTGAGGCATTCTAGTGGTTGCGCTAACGTAGCCTGCTGGACAGCAATGATAGCAGCGTATGCCCAACACGGGCGAACCGGTCTGGCTGTGGAATTGTTCAGAGAGATGAACCTCGCGGGCGTTCGGGGAAATCAGATTACCTTTACTTGTTTGCTACATGCGTGCAGCCAGTGTGGACTTTTGGAACAGGGTAGGCTCCAGTTTATTTCTATTCTGGCAGAGCATGGGATGGTGCCTACACGGGATCATTATTCGTGCATGGCTGACCACCTTGCTAGAGCGGGAAAGATTGAGGAGGCACAAGATTTGATCCAAACGATGCCATTTCAGCCCGATGCTGCTGCATGGAGTAGCTTACTAGGAGCATGTAAATCAAGCGGAGATGTCAATAGAGCGGAAGTTGTGGCCTCAAAGAGCATGGTGGAACCCGGTGCCTATGTGCTATTGTCTGACACATTTGCATTGTCCTCTAAAGAGGTTCTTTAAGAAAGCAACTTTTCGAAGGGAAAGTCTTCTTATGGTGGTCGATCTTACATAAAACTTGCCATACATAAAAGAACTAATCGTTCAAGCAAGTAGCTACAGATCGTGGAGGACACTGCAAAAAATCCCGGATAGATTTTGGGTACACGCAAAGGGTATGGAGAGGTTTTTATTTCGGGATTGGTATTCTTACGAGCTGAATTGCTTGTCATGAGCAACTAAATGAGTATGCTCCTGTACCACATACAAGAGTTGAATAAAAGAAGAAGAAATAAAGTCAGAACATTCGTACCTGGGTGCCAACCATTAGGCAGCCATCTGAAGGATGTGCTGCGACACTATAGACACCGTCTGCCATTTCAATCACAACTGGAGCGCAGCCATTGTTTCTCGAGCTAAAAGAGAGGTCAGGCGTTCGTCTAGCTACAAGGTCACACAGTTACCTGACGTGATGGCGCGATCCCGGACCAGAAAATTCGAGAAAACGAAGGTCCCCACTAGCTACAGCGACTACCTGTCAGCAAGAAAAGCATCAGCTGCAGTGTCAATCCAAGCAGCATTCACCGGAAGGCTCAAAAGCCAGGTGAGTTTTGTCGTGCTCAGCCAGCTCAGACTTCCCAGTTCCCTGACAAACCCAGACCATATTGTCAATGCCAATCAAAACGATCAACTTATATACCAGAGCGATGGAGGGCAATGAATGTGTGTTATCTCTTGAAAGTTGAGCATGTTGATTACACCGGACCTTCATCACACACAAACCACGTCCAGTGAGCCTCAAACATTTGCAAAGCACTGAGATGTTGAAACTACCAGCCTTTGTTGAGGCCGAAAGCAAGCTGATCACCTGACGAGTTTAGACGCACACATGTAACACTCAAATCTCCAGTGTACGTTTGAGACTGAAACAGCAAAATGATGGCAAGCATAAGAAGAAGAAGTAAGAAGTCTACCCGGAGATCTGGTATCTCTTGCAAGGCTGTAGACATGGAGATAATGCCCAAGGGATGTTGATCCACCTGCGCCTCAACCACTGTCAGCCTAGACTTCCATGATTTCTACAAACAAGCTATTAAGATAAACTTACATTGTTGGGCGAGGAAAAGGCAGAACAAGAAGAAGCCTTTCCGCCACGGATGTCCCATGCGAAAATATGACCGCTGCTGCTTCCAGCCAAAAGAACCTACAGCGAAATGGATGATGTGATTTGGAGACTCGATTGATTGCAACCTGTTCGTCTGATGTGATGTCCAGAGACAGCATCGTTCCAGCAAAAGAAGGTGCCCGTAAAGTCGCAGTAGAAAGATTTCCTGCTCGCCTATCCCACACATACACGCCTCCGCTTGCACAAGCAAATATCCTGGAAGAAACCAGTCAAAAGCTTGGGTAGCTTTCAGAAACTCACTTCCAGCTTTTGCATTGCACGTCGTAGAGGCCGCGATGGGTTTCCGTCCCCGGCTTTGTTCTAAAGACTTGCATTTTTTCGAGCGACTCGGGCTGCCTGTGTCGGACGTCGAAGATGATGACGGAACCGACTGACTCGGCTACGCATGCCACCTGCTAGATTTTGGTGATCACATAAAGCCTGGAAACAAAATCACCTGAAGCTGGTCCAGGGGGTTCCATCTCACGGCTTGAAGCTTTCCACAGAGGGAATAAGCAGCCACAGGAGGCATCCTCTTGCCTGTGTAGTTTCATGGTAATTGCAGCGAGACGAGACGAGACGAGCTTACCAGACAGAATGGAATCGTAAGCATGGATGTTCATATACCCCGTGGACGTGGTGAAAGCCACGAGAGTACCCTGGACGAAGATCCTCAACAGGGTAGAACCAAGACCCGAGAAAACAAAGCACGCACCTCAGTGTTAAACTCGATGTCGGACACGTAACTCTGCCTGGAGAAGGTAGGAGAGACGACATGAATCCTGAAAGCAAGCAAAGGCACACCTTGACATGGACGGAGGCAAATAGTTATCCTGTTCGAGACATTCAACCTGCGAAGCAAGACGAACAAGACGTGAAGAAAGACACCAGGTTGTTTATCGATGCCATACGAGAGCATACGACTTCATCACGCTGGTGGTGCAGAGGTGATGGAGGCGCTTGTGCATCCTGCCCGTCTGCTCATATTCCAAGACCACATTTTGCTCCTGCTGCTGCTGCCGCCGCTCACACCTACAAGTCACTGGATCGGCATCCATCTTCACTGCAAACCATCACCTGCTGCTCTCCTTGCTGGCATCGCTGATGGGCTTCGCCGCACTCTGGAGAAACCTCTCCATTCTTTGTTTGAAGCCCTACCTAGCCTAGTCGAGCGAGGCCAGAAGGAAGGAATGAATAAAAAAGAATGTTGGTTGTCAAGACAAGCGCGCGACTCCATCCCTGATGGCTTGCCGGAACACCTTGCCGTGCAGGAAGAACGAGGACACATGACCGCCAGTGACCCATCGGACCTCGGAGCCGGGCCACGCACGCTGCAGCTCCAGCATCGAGTTGCCTGGGATGTAGCCATCGTTCTACACAGCCGGGCACAGTCAAGCTTTCGTTTCCAAGGCAAAGAAAATGAGACTCACCGTGGCACCCACAAAGATGACGGCTCTGGGGTTCTTGGGGATTGGAAAGCGGGTCACGTCCGTGAGGGAGAGCACCGCTCGCATGCGCTCCCGGACTTGGTCCAGCGTCATGCTGCATGCCTCGTCCCGCATCAGCACCTCCCACGCGGTTCCATACTTCATGATCCCCTCGCAGAAGGCCACCGCGGCCGAGTGGGGTGAAAGCAGTGGCAAGACTGCAAGCGGCGTTGGATGGAGCGATCCAACCATGGCTGCATGCACTCCTCCTGCACAGAGACACCGGATGCGTTTCGAAGGAGAAGAAGCGACGAACTACGTACCCATGCTTAGGCCGCAAACGCCCAACTTGGAGAAGCCTGCTTGCTTGTCCAGCCAGTAGAGCAGCGTCCGTGCCTCCTCGATCGTTGCTCGGCCGAGAACAAGCAGGTCGCTGACGCACAGGAGCTTGGCCCCGCGCTGGAGCCTGGGCCGCCGATTGCCGTAGAAGGGGCTGTGATGATCATAGATGTGTATGAGCAGCGGGCATGGTTGTAGCTAAACAGACCTCTCGAGCACCAGCGTGGCGATGTTATCCTTGAGCAATGGTCCTCCCAGCCGCAAGCGCCTCTCGAAACCATGATCTCCAGTGCCTGCCGCGCTCACATTGATTGATCTATGAAAATCACCAGCCTAAGAGAGGGAGAGAGAGCGCGCGCGCGCGAGAGAGAGAGAGAGAGAGAGATCTAGAGCGCGCGCGAGAGAGAGAGGGGAGGCAAGAGATCTAACCTGCAAGGTGCACGACGCATGCCATCTTATGAGCCGGAACGCTGCGGGGCATGAGCAGGCGGACGCGCGCAATGTGGCTCTCGGGCGGCAAGCATTCCCTGACGAGCGGATCGCAGGGCGTGGGAAAGATCCCCTCTTGGAGCTTGGCCGCCTTGGATTCCCACACGGTCCGCCACACCGGATCGATGGGTGGCGGCGGCCAGTACTTAAGCGAGAAATTGGCGAGGCCCTGCGAGATGAGCTGCCGCGTGAGCTGTTCCAGTAGCACTAACCTGGCGCCACCCCAGCCATTGGAGAAGAAGGGTGGCGAGAGCCTGAGCCTGTACATGAGAGCGCCATAGACGTGATCCAGCCAGTAGTGCGCCACCCGCAGATTCGAAACCACCATGGCTGGCTGCCCTCCCTCTTCTTCTTGCTCCTTTATTTGCCCTAAAATAATAGCGCCAGCGTGGCCAACAGCGAAGTTCCTCAGTACACACCAGACACGAACTCGCCGCTGCTCTCCACGTCCGGGTCAATGTCGTTGTCCAGATCCATTTCCAATCCCATATCATCCAGCAGGTCCCCAGGAATCCCTCCAGTCTTTGCCTCCGCGATGATTCTCATGATGTCCTCCACGCTTTGCTGATTGGTGTCGTCGAATTCGTAGCTTGCGTCCGCTCCTTGCAACAGGTCGATTGGAAGGTTCTTAAGAAACCATGGGTGGCGCCTGATCTCAGGGATGGTGATTCTCTGTTTAACAGATGGAATTGTAGAAGCTTAGTTTGAGTAGTCTAGTACCTTGGATGGATTTGCAACAAAGATGCGAGAGAGTAAATGCCGGCAGTCGCTGGAAATCCGCACATAATCTGGGATTGAATACTGCACGCTAAGAATTCTCTGCCAAAGGAAGAATACAGACCGAAAGAATGAAAACAATCACGACGCAATGGACTTACACCAATTGTCTTTCTGAAGTTGCGAGGATCCTCAGGATCCTCAAACGGATACGCTCCTACTAGCATCACGTACAGGGTTACACCACACGACCACACATCTGCAATCTGGGATCCAAGAGAGAAAACAACGGATTAAACAAAGACAGCAACTAATTTCGGGAACTTGCCTTGCCATCGTATTCTTTTCGAGACAACACCTCCGGAGCAATGTATGCAGGGGTTCCCACGGTTGACTTTGGTTGAGAATGCAACACGGCTGACTGTAACGCAAGAAGAAGAGGTTGAAGCCGCTGCTCAAATCGACGTTACCTTCGAGTAGCCGAAATCACAGATCTTAAGACGTGGTGCGGGACTCCCATCGAGTAAGGTGTTTTCCAGCTTGAGATCTCGATGGCATATCTCCTGCTCATGAATTCATAGAGACAATGGGAAACACCACGAATTTACATACGTTTTGATGACAGTAGCTGACACCCGATATAAGTTGCTGGAAGAAAAACCTGGCCTGTTTACCAAGGAAAGTTGATCAGCAAAACAATTCAACACAAGATTTTCTACACCTCGTCTTCGCTAAATCTTCCCGCATTGCAAATGCGCTCAAAGAGCTCCCCGCCCGCCGCGTACTCCATAGCAATCGCCAAGTGTGTAGGAGTAAGCATAACCTGGAAGTAATTGTCTGGAAAAACAGAGAAGAAACGCGCATTTCGGTAAATTTTACCTCCTTGAAGCGAATAATGTTGGGATGTCTCAGTGACCGGTGATTTATGATCTCCCGCTGAACATTCTCATCAATCTGGATGGATCCAACTTTGACTCTCCATTTCCAGTTCTGGTAGATTACCTTCTCGCCACGCTCGATGAATTTGACAGCCACAAGCTCCCCTGTTTCCTTCTCACGCATTAGCCGTGCTATGCCGAAGTTTCCAGACCCTATATCTTGCACGAATTCGAATCTATCCATTTTAACTCCACTCTTTCATTCCGAAGACCTAGCTCAGTGGAGTAGGCAAATTCTACAAGTACACATGGCCTTGCGTTGAAAGTTGCGCGTGGCGTACAAAATCAACTGCTAATGCTTTGTATAATACTGTGGAGATCTCTTTTATTATTTTAAGAGATCTTAACGGACTAGTATGCTTATAATATAAACCATCTAATTTACACTTTTTTGCCTTTCTTAAATAGATGGACACGGGGTTCCTACGAGCTTCTTTCTCAGTTTGTTTGCCTCGTCACAGATTCTGATCAGGTACGGTGAGCGGGGATCCCTGGGTGTTGGTCGACCTAGAAGCGGGCATCTGTGCCGCCGCTTCGCCTTGGGCTACGGCCGATGTACAGAAGCCTTGTCAAGCCCCAAGGCAAGGTGACTCCACTTCACGCACGTGGATCATGATGTGCCGTTGCTCGGATTGTGCACCAGGTAGATCGCGGTATAGGCCTCAGGGAATTGATATCAAGCCACCAACGCCGTCCACCGGATTGTTGGAAAGCTACTGCTCGTCCAGGAACGTTCACTTTAGACACACGGCCAGGCTCATAGCGCCTTCATTGCAGCAGGCAAGGAGTACGAGCTGCTGATTTTCCCGGATGAAAGACACATGCGCAGGGGGCTGCGGGACCGAATGTATGTGAGTTTTTGGACAGACATTTCTCGAGAACTTGACTTGGCGCCTGTTCTCGCTCGGTGCATGACGGAGCTAAACTCGTAGCCTGCCTGGTTCATCGCCGGGGCTCCCATAAACTTCTCCGTGTAGAAGGTGTCTGTATCCATCCCAAGCCTGCACGCTGGTGACAACCTCTTGATCTTCTCTAGATATTTGATCGCTCCTTCGACCTTGACAACCGTGGGAGTGCTCGCCGAGGCCTTAAGCTGTTTCGTTGGGCGTGCCGTACTTTACCAGTTGCTGTCTGCAGATGTTTTAGATCATGAGCATGACTTCAAGTTATTTAAATAATTCTTCTTGGAGTATTAGACTTCTTCTTGGAGTAGAAGTGTTTATTCTCTCTATTGGCTTGGTATTGTGGACAATGGAGCCACCAGAGAGTTACGAGATAATGTTCTTCGTTCTCCATTCCATTTGTGATCAGGCAAACTGGGAATACTCAATATTCTAGCAAAGGCGAACAAGCCAATCCACGTTGATGAGATCCGTGCCATTCTCCAAGCTGCAACAGGCCAGGCCCACAACCTAGAAATTGTGAAGGCTCATGCAATCTCTTTGCAGGAAGAACATATTTGATGAGCAGCCTGTGGGAGTCTTTGGGCACAACTCTCTATCTCGATGGCTCATACACGGTGCGCTCGCATCCTTATTGCTGTTGACAACCTCAGAGGCAGCGGAAGTTGCTTGGCACCATCTGCACGAACTGGCTTTGGATGTGACTTCGTCTTCAACTTCTGCATTTGCCAGGGCGCATGGGAAAAGCGTTTTTGAATTTGTTGCGAACGACAATGGTTTTGCAGGTTTATGGTTGGCACTGGCCTAAAAGTGTCAAAATTGTGCAAGCCTTTCCACACATCATCCACAAACTATTGCAAGTGGCACTCCAAACATTCCCAGCTTCTCCCTCTCCAGCTCTCTCTTAATAGCTTTCTTGAATTGTTTGAGGGGATGCAACATACATGCAGGTGTGTGTATGCTCAAGATAAAAGATGATAGATTCTAATAGCTTAAAATTTGCAAATGGTTCTACACAATTCGAACGACGAAAAGGTGGGATCATGGACCATATATTAGATCCACACCAGAAGGCACCCCTCGATCCAGAGAAAGAGCTGCTCGCATCGCAAGGCTTAAACGTCAATTTGAAATGTCTCCCTGCAATCAAGTTTGCAGCTGTCATCGAGGCCTACAAATAAGAAAAGTAGCTGGAATAAATCGTGTAGAGGTATTTGTCACCTTTTGTCAAAAAGTTGGTGGACGATGCTCATCGTCAACAACTCAACCAAGAAAAATCTCTAAGAGCATCTTTAATAAGAATACTACTGAAGATATAAGGTAGTTATGACCGAGTATTGGACCGTCTCGGAGGGCGCGGCAACCCGAACCCGGTTTGAGAGAAGAATATTC